ATTGTGTATCCTTTTATTTCTATGGCTGAAAAAATAAGAAGGCCTGATTTAGTAAAAAGAATAGGTACTTACAGAAAAACTGCATTTTAATTTTTTTTTTTTGTGCTTGCTCATTTTTAATGATATATTACTCGCTCTTAACTCATAGAATTGACAAAAAAAAAAAAAAAAACTCACTCAGTAACAATTTATAATGTAAACTTTTGATATTGTTGTTGCTATAAGTCGGTTAAAAGTACTTATTTTTGTTTGCAATCATGTAGAGAAAATAGACTCTACTATGGTTTGATTTCATTAGAAGAGGTTGTAGTTAAACTGAAATAAAACTTTTATCTTGTGCAAACCATACACTTTGTGGGATAGAACAATTTGATGAGATTATTAATAACGAAATAATACTATCCACTGAAGTATCTTTTTGAATTAATAACTACAAATCTATGGTAAATCAAGTCATTTCTTCAACTTAGGGCAGATTTGAATAATTTATAATATTTTCACATTGGTTGTTTAAAAAAAAAATTATCTTGATCTTGAAAATTTTCTAGAAGTGGCTTTTTAATTTTTTGATATTGGAAATTACGAATTGTTTGAAACCAAAAGTTTTAAAAGATGGTAACAAACAACATTACGATTGTAACTTTGATAGTAAAATGTACTTAATGATGGGTCCCATTGTAATATTAAATAAATTTATTATCATATCATTGGTGACAACTCATTATGTCCAAATAGTATTGCTCAAAAAATTATGAAGCAAAAGTCAATAAAATTGATTGTCAAGTGAATATATTTTACCTACACTCTGTAACTTCATGTCAATATCTTGATCTTATTAAGAATTGCCGACGTAAATTGCTCAAGCAAGTTGATTCTTTAGTGGTCCAAAAGCACTGGTCCACAATTTTTACTTTTTCCTTTTTGTGAAATTTTGATTGATCTTGAACGCTTTTCACCACTTTCAATCTGTTCATGTCGTTCATCAAGCAGGAAACACCGTCCTTTTTGTTCTTCTTTATGGCAAACTTTACAATACATCAGAAACTAAAACGTTGGTTAGCACTACATTGATATAATGTAAAGTCATCTCTGCAACACTTTCTTTGTTTCTAAAACATCCAAAATCAGTAAAAGTGGTTGTTTTGATATTTTCTTTCACGTAATGGGTTGTATTATTGAAACAAATGAAATTATCATGATATCAAAAAGTTTTGGTCAAAGATTCATCTCTCTGACACCATGGTATGAATCTTTATTCATATGATGTTTATCAAAAAAGTTTTGGTCAAAGATTCATCTATCTAACACCCTGATATGAATCTTTATTCATATGATGTGGCAATCGGAGCTTTTGCTTTACAGCTTTTCCTGTGATCTTCAACTAACCAGCTACTGATAATACTGCATTGTGCAAATAAGAAATCTTAAAACGCACTAACGTTTCTTTGAAAGCATAGTTATGCTTCGAAGGCGTTCGCAATCAATCATTCATATTATATAATCCTGCAAGAAACACATGCTCATTGATTGATTAGGATCTCATAAGTGTTAGGTTTTTGTTTTCCAATTCCCTCTAGGCTAAATCACCAACAGTCTGGTGGGGGACCCCGTAAAACATAATGGTCCCTTTTAGACTCAAACCATTTTTCGATTTGCAACTTCCTTAAGGCTCCTAAATCACCTTTTTTTTTTTTTTTTTATGTTCTTTCACTTTATTTTTGTATTTGTCCTTTGATTCGTTTTGTCTTCTTTTGTGTGATTGAAAAAGCTGAATGATTGTGCACGAGCTTGACCATACCATTGAACCAAAGGCAATGTGTATTTGCCTAGTGGCCTAGTGTAGTTCTATTAATATTGAGATAGTGTGCATCAATTGTTTTTGCTTTACACCTTTCCTTTGATCTTCGACTAATCACCATTTCACTTTTCTTTGAAAGCAGAGTTATGTTTCGAATCAACGTTACATATTATATAATCCTGCACGCAAGCATGCGCTCATTAATTGTTTAGGATCCCATTAGGTTTTTTTTTTGGGTTTTTGTTTTGGGTGATTCCCTCTTTGGTTAAATCACCTTCGCTCTAATGTTAGGGACGTAGTATAGTATAATGAGTCTTTTTTGAATGTATGATACATGATCTTGCATTGAGCAATTTACCAGAGGAGCGTAGTTGGAAAACTTAATTCTTAAAAAAAGGGAGTCTCAAACTTTATTCTCAAACCAAGATATGCCAAATAAAAGGAAATTACATTTGATAACCCTTTAGGATTCCTCTTGTACTCATTAACCTCAATAATTTTCAAAAAAAAAAAAAATAGAGAAATTTGAACCGGAACAAACTCGACAAACAATAACCTAGTATTGGAGCCCCGGGAACATCTTTAGGAAGACAATTTTTTATAACCAGTGGTGAATCATCAATAACAAATAAGTTATTAAAAAAAAAAAGAAAAAATAGTAGAGTTACTACCTCTACTAGAAAAAATTATTCACCCACTTAGAAAATAATTAGACATAATAGCAGAAAGACTTTGAATTGTTGGAATAGAAAGACTAGTTAAAACTCTAGAAATTGACCCATGTCACCCAAAACCTTCAGAAATAAGAACATAAAAACTTGCAAAATCAATATTTCAAGTCCAAAATGAACCAAAACCTTTGATCAAAATGTTAGATAAATTTGAAGAAAAAGTTAATAAAAGAGTAACTTCTATAGATTCCGATAGTTTAAGTTGATATAAAATGTTGCAGGAGAGATTATGTGGATCTTTTCTCACAATTAAACACGTGAGTTGTTAGACACTACCTAAAGGGGGTGATGGATTAAATAAAATTAAGTTTCAACAACTACTAATTCTAATCTAACTCTACCTCAATTACCTCTTCTCACAATGAGATGACAATTTAATGTGAGAATTCCTTTTCAACCACCACAACCCATTAAACACATGAGAATTGATGTATTGATTTTATTAAATCATCAATTAACACTCCATCTCTCATGACAATCTCAACCCAATGGCAACAAACTTAATCAAGCAACTATGTATGATATGAATAATCAATCAATCAATCAATTTATCAAACAAATATTGCTTGTGTGTGCTAAAGTTGAAATGTATATATAAAAATAATAAATAACACAAGCAATCTATCTAAGCAAAAACCTTGTACGAGAAAAATTGCGGAAAACCTCTATAGTTAGAGGTCATTAAAGCCTAATTCACTATTTGAAAATTAATTTACAAGTATTCGAGTCTTATACCTCAACCAAATCTAAGTAAGTATTGTGACAAATTTTCACTGGAGGTTGACACCATCTGTCACTGCCATTTGGTAAAATTTTTCTCCAAGGAAACCTAGGACCAGACATTGTGAGGCTTCTATGCAAACATTGGGTCACCACTAGTCTTGCGGCAAAACTTCGGGCTCTAAGAAAGGCCCTACAACTACCACTACAAGAGGTTTCAACAAGATAGAAGCAGGTATGGACGCACAAATCGTCATTCAACATGTCCAGGACCCAACATTCACACATCCATAATTAATGATTGCAAGTGACTAACCGAGCAATTCCAGGAGGTACAACTCCGACATGAGAAACGAGAAATGAGAATGAAATCTTTGCGAAGACATTATAGCCAAGAAGGGCGTTCAAACCATGATTACATAAAGCGCCAAGTGTGAGCGAGAGTGAGGGTGTGAGACCACAAAATTTCAAAAAAAATTGAGAAGAAGAGCGTCACTAAAAATATCAAATTTGTATAGATAGTATTGTAAAGATTAACGGATATCACATTATAAAGTGTACTATTTACATCACAATCCCACATCGGTAGAATACTGAAAAGTTGAAGAGGAAGACAGCTATTTAATAGTCCATCCATGTATTAAAAGGTCAAAGAAGTGAAAGAGCCAAATCTTGGGGCCTAGGTGGTCTAGGATTTTAGAGCATTGGAGCCAGTTTCTTGGGCCGAGGACCTTCTAAATTATTTAGTTTTGGTAAAAAAGTACATGAATTGAACTAAAATTTTTTCTATGGAGTTGGCTGTATATTGTATGATGGTTAAAGAATTTTAGTGGGCTAATTTGTCTTTTTGTTCTGTTCTTAGTAGATGGTTACGCAAAACGTCGTTACTAACGTGAGGTTCATATATGTTTTGAATTGCGTTGTATTTAAAAATTGTAATATTTGTATTGCATTTAAAAATAATAAATGATTAATAGATAAATAATTATGATTCTTGGACTAATAAGAAGTAATATAGTAACTTATTATTGTCTTTTTATTTTTATGGATAATATTATCAATTAAGTTTTTTTTGACTGACATTCAAAAGTAGTATATAAATTATTAAATTTATACAAATATTTATTTTTTTATTGAATTTGGATATGCACTACTTACGTACAAACGTATACAAATATATGATGTAATTTGATGTTTATTTAATAAAATTGAGTAGAAAATTGTCTTTAATCAACTTATTTGGATCAAAATGAATATCTATTTTAACAGATTCACATATGTACTATAAAAAATAATATTCATCGGATAATTGAATTTGATTCGAATCACATTGTTCAAATTGAATTTGGATCAAACTTATATTATTTGAAAAGAAGATATTCAAAAGTCAAACAATGAATTTATTAGTTAAATTAATAAAACTAAAAAAAAATCAAAATTTTTTCTCTTAAGCCACTTTAAAAAGGATAATATTATAGAGTTATTGAAAGATAAATAAGGAAATAATTTTTTTTTTACTTAAGCCACTTTTGTTAGTAATATAAATAAGAGGTTAATAATAGTTGCGCCGCCATATAAGAATTGCAAAATAGAGATATAATGTAACTAATTAATCCACCGTTTATTAATTCTACTTGGGGTACACCATAAATAGATGCACCCCTTATAGAACAATGGACCGGGAATCCATGTAATACAAGAAATGACATGACTATAAAAATCAGTTACTTCCACACACCAAAAAAAACATCTTAACTTGTCTCAATTCTTGCAAGTTCAATTTCCCTTATTCCATTAACATCATTGATTTGCTTTGGTTGAACTTCTTCTTTAGCCAACTCCACATCTTCTTTAGCCAACTCCACATCTTCTTCCTTCACCTCTTCTAGGGGCTTGTGAGTATAAAACCAGGCCCATATTACATAATATATTAGGGTTATAACTTGTATTCCACCCCCAAACAAGTAGTAATTTTCCAATCTACCCCTATTGAGGTTCCTATTAGGTATCCAATTATTTTCTTTGCCAGTGTATTTGTGAATTAATGATACCATGAATGTACCGATATAATTCCCCGCCGACAATGCCAGCCAGTAGAGTGCCGGTGCAGTGCTTCTCATACTTTCCGGCGTTTGATCATAAAGAAATTCCATTTGCCCAATAGACAGAAAAACATCACCTATAGCGTCAAGGCAATACTGTGGAAGCATCCAAAAAACACTTATGGGTATGGTAGCGGTTGGTTTGTCAAGTAAGTTGTATTTTGCAGCAACTTTTTTCCTCTTGACCTCAACCAGTGCTGAAACAATACTATCAACAATACAAATGGCATAGCCGATGCCCATTCTTTGTAGGCAAGTAACACCCACCGGATTGCCTGTAAATCGACGAGCAATAGGCACAAAAACACGCTCATATACGGCAATACCAATTAAAACAGTGATCATACTGAAGATAGAGAGGCTAGCCGGAGGAATTTCAAAGGAGCTGGAGTGAGAAAAGTGGCGATCCATACTACGAGCTTGTTGAATTTGAAAGCTATACTGGTGTGAATACGATGCCACAAGTAATATTCCGGCCCCCCAGATTGGTAACATCCTTATAATGGACTTTAGTTCCTCAACTCGATGGACAGTGGCGAGTCTCCATAAATTTGGTTTTTTTGAATCTTTTGTATCCTCATCTGTTACTATTGCTGCTCGATCAAGACACCTTCATACAAAAGTTCAATCAATCAGATAAACATGTGATTTAGGGTAATTCTATGGCACCAAAAAACAGTTTAAATATATGTGGTGTATCTTACTTGAACTCATCTGTATGTAGAAGCCTTCCATAGGATGAAATGGCTGCATCAAGCTCTCTATTCTCATACAACAGACCGGAGTCTGCTGGTGCAACTAGTTTCCTTTTCCTCACAGCAGCAACAATTACCTGAGCCAATCTTGTCAATGGACTTCCTGCTGGTTTTACTTTCTTGTAAAGAGGAGAGCCTATCAAGAAAGCTATAATCGAGACCACAAAGGAAGCAGTGGGAATTCCAAAACCCCATTTCCAATCCACATTGTCTTGGATATAAACAACAACAGTTAGAGCTGGTAGAATTGACACTATCAAGCTGAAATAGTACCAGTTGAAGAAATTCCAGCTCCGAGTGGCTACTTTTGATTTGGACATGTCAAATTGATCGGCGGCAAAGGTAATGACACAAGGCCGAATGCCACCTGCCCCGAAGGATGTGAGGATGAAAGAGATGTAAAGGGGAAGTAATTGGAGGGATGAGGCTTCTATGCAGTTCTCTTGAGTCGGGCATGGTGGCGGGCGGAGCTGTGGTAGAATTGCTGATATGGTGATGCTCACTAGGCCCTATAACAAGGTATGTTTTGCAAAAGAAATTAAGTACTTTATCAAAAGTTTTGTGAAACAAAACAATTGGATTAACAATATCAGCAAATTAATGAACTTGCAAACGTTCTCTCAAGCCCTCCGTTTTCTTTTTTTATTCATTTTAGGGCCAAAGACACTTGGACCCTCTGCAATATGCCCTCATTTCATATTGCCCCTTAAACCATTCATTCTTCGCATTACATCTTATACTATTGGTCCAAGTCTAACATTACCTCAATTTTTGATCACTTTTGTCCAATTTTCTCCAGCAAATCAAGGTAAAAATGGGATCCCACAATATTAAGAGATTTGGTCTTTCCCAGCTCAGCTAAGGTAGAATTCCATTTTTACCCCTAATTTGCCATGAAAAAGTAGATATAAGTTAACTAATATGCAACGCAAACCAATAATTTAAGGGACAATATGAGAAAGTGGATAGTTTACCGCGAAAGAGAAACAAGAGGTATAATGCAAGGGGTCTAACTGTAATTTCCTATTTTGATCAAAAAAAACAAACAAACTGTAATTTCCTATTAATTTTAATCACTCTCACTGAAGCGCATACAAAACAACATGCACACACAGACCCACCCGCCCCCCTAAAAAAAAAAAAAAAAAATCCCCACAGTACTCACAGACATTAACACACACTCTCCCACAAAGAGAGAGAGAGAGAGAAAGAGAGAGAGACCAATTGATAAAAAATAGAACCGGCAACGATGGTCCAAAATCGGCCGGCAAAAGAGTCCGCAACTAGTGCACCAAGGAGCGGCATGAAGCTACTAATGCCACCAAAGTAGGTAAGAGTGTTGGATGCCTTCACCAGTGACAGGTTGAGCTCTTGGGTCAGGTACGATATCAGGTTCACATGAGAGCCAGCTGATGCAAATCTATCACATATTTCGTTTGCTGTCCAGTGTTAAGAAACAAATCATTAATTCTCCAATCCATATTCTGTTTTCTTTTTGCCAAGATATTAAGTTCATTATAGTGTTATACATGATGAAAATAATTTTAGCTAAAAACCAGTAAATTAAAAAGTCACTCTCATGAGAAATATTAGATCTTGAGACACCGTTACTGCTTTGAAGATCTTGAGAATTTTGTTTTGGTTCAAAGAAACTATGCAAGAAAAAAACAAAGAAAGAATTAACGAACAAGATGGGCAAGAACATGAAAATGCAAGCTCACCGACGATGAAAGGCATTGTTCTCATTCCTCCAAGCTTCTTCTTCTTCTTTGTGTTCTCCTCTCTCTTCTCATCCTCTCCATTTTGAGCCATGTTCTTCTCTGATTCCATTTTGATCTCTATGTTCCAGGGTGAGATCCGAGGACTGTTTTTGTAGGCAATTGGTGCTCGAAGTGCAGGGATGAGGAGTGGAATGAAAACACACAGGTAGGGACAACAAAAAATGAGTTGGTGGGCACGTTGATGTGGTGATATGTTGATGTCATATAAGATGGCCAATGCAGCTAGCTAGCCTACTCTCTTTTCTTTTATTGACTATAAACCCAAGATTCTGGGTAGGGTTGCACGTCGAAGTGACATAAATTATGGAATTACAAATCCAAGTGAAATTTGAAAACGAATTTAAACTGTTAGAAAAAGAATCACACATGTGGTCCGTCTATGAGTTTTTAAACTCCAGACCACAAAGTATTTATCTAAGGAAAATGGTGATATAACACAAGTGTAATAAAGGAAGAGATGTGGTATATGTGATTTGAACTTACGACATCATGTTAAACCGGTAAATGCTCTAGTAGTTTAATTTGAATTGTCTTTAGTTATGTAATGTCCTATAGAACGGGAAGAAGTCGATGTTATTCTTACGTCAGATGGACACTTGAGCTGAGTTTATTTTCTCTTTATTTGCAATAAACTTACGATTCTAGAGATATTAGGTGTAAAAAGAGCAGGCAGGATTTGGAGTTAGCATTGGCTAGCATGCTTATGTCTCCTGCTCATCATTTGTGTCATTTTGTCTATATCGAAGTACAGCATATGCTAGTGCTTATGTACCGAAAGTTACATGTAAATAAAGGTGAGTTATAAGTCATTCAATGTCAAATTATAATTAAAAAAATCCACTATTATGATATAATAATTAGATTTTACAATTTTATATACATTTCAAATAATCACATTTGCTCGTAATTTGATTAGATCCGGCCGTGGCCGTAAGTTTGTTTTTATTTTGGAATACTGTTAGAACGGTTTCGAAAAGAGTGGAAAAGTCCCACAAACAGAGTGTTAGGGTTTAGTGGTTATGGTTCTTAAAGGTCCTGGTTGTCGTAAATATGGAATTTGATGCTGAATGTTCCTATACGAAATCATTCCAAGCCAGACACGTGTGAAACGCCTGTGCAAGAACCAAGGGAAAGATGGCCATTTTAAAATCAAACAGAATCTATTCCATGTCATCAGTGCCGGCCCATGCACTTGTCCATTACGGGTAGGGTGCAATGCAGCCGAGTCAACTTGAATTCAATTTTAACTTAACTCAAAAAAAAAAAATAATCGGGTTTAAGTTCAGATTTTAATAATTGACAATATTCGGATTGAAATGCAGCCTATGCCGAAAAATACCAATTCAAATTACCAATTCGAACAATATTCGGATTGAAATCTTGGGTTACTGAGTTTAACCTGAATATATAAATCAGACTCAATCCGAATATTAAATCAGACTCAACCTGAATGTATTTAAAAATAAGGGTTAATTGAAATAGAGGTCTAAAAAGTATAAAGTTTGTTTCATTTTGTTCCTTAATATTTCAATTGAGTTATTTTAGTTTCAGAAGTATTGAATATCTATATAATAAAATAGTTAGAAAAGTTTGTCTTGAGCTTTTCATGATTCAGATCGTTTGACGATTATTAATCCAATGGTCCTCATGCAAAATTTTTTTAAGACTCATATCTCTCATCTAACTCTCTCTCTCTTTCTATCTCATACTAACTGATACAACTCTTTTTCCTTCAAATTACTATGTGTTTAAGGGGGTCAATATGTACGGGATAAAAATTTAAATTACTATGTGTTTTATTATATAGATTTAAATATTATAATATTTTTATTTCAATACAAAATATTACCTATATCATAGTCATTCAACTCATTTTAACGCAAAAAATCTGTATTTGAGATCTATTTGTTTATTTGAAAATTTTAAAAATAATCCTTAATTATATAGAATCATAATTAACGATCTAATTAGTGTGTAACATGAGATATATAGAGAGTTACAAGAAAGAAAGAAGTTTTAGAATTGTGACAAAATATGACCTATATTATAGTCATTCAACCCGTTTTGACGCAAAGAATCTATATTTAAGGTCTATTTGTTTATTTAAAAATAATTCTTAATTATATAGAATCATAATTCAAGACCTAATTAATTTGTAGTATGTGATAGAGAGAGAATTGTGACAAAATACGACCTATATTATAGTCATTCAACTTGTTTTAACACAAAGAATTTGTATTTAAGGTCCATTTGTTTATTTGATAATTTTAAAAATAATACTTAATTATACATAATCATAATTAACGACTTAATTAATGTGTAGTATGAGAGAGAGAGAGAGAGTTATAAGAGAGATAGAAGCCTTAGAATTGTGGAAGGAATGAAAGTCTTGTTCAAAAAATTGAGAGAGAGAATTTCGCATTAGGNCAAAAAAAAAAAATAATCGGGTTTAAGTTCAGATTTTAATAATTGACAATATTCGGATTGAAATGCAGCCTATGCCGAAAAATACCAATTCAAATTACCAATTCGAACAATATTCGGATTGAAATCTTGGGTTACTGAGTTTAACCTGAATATATAAATCAGACTCAATCCGAATATTAAATCAGACTCAACCTGAATGTATTTAAAAATAAGGGTTAATTGAAATAGAGGTCTAAAAAGTATAAAGTTTGTTTCATTTTGTTCCTTAATATTTCAATTGAGTTATTTTAGTTTCAGAAGTATTGAATATCTATATAATAAAATAGTTAGAAAAGTTTGTCTTGAGCTTTTCATGATTCAGATCGTTTGACGATTATTAATCCAATGGTCCTCATGCAAAATTTTTTTAAGACTCATATCTCTCATCTAACTCTCTCTCTCTTTCTATCTCATACTAACTGATACAACTCTTTTTCCTTCAAATTACTATGTGTTTAAGGGGGTCAATATGTACGGGATAAAAATTTAAATTACTATGTGTTTTATTATATAGATTTAAATATTATAATATTTTTATTTCAATACAAAATATTACCTATATCATAGTCATTCAACTCATTTTAACGCAAAAAATCTGTATTTGAGATCTATTTGTTTATTTGAAAATTTTAAAAATAATCCTTAATTATATAGAATCATAATTAACGATCTAATTAGTGTGTAACATGAGATATATAGAGAGTTACAAGAAAGAAAGAAGTTTTAGAATTGTGACAAAATATGACCTATATTATAGTCATTCAACCCGTTTTGACGCAAAGAATCTATATTTAAGGTCTATTTGTTTATTTAAAAATAATTCTTAATTATATAGAATCATAATTCAAGACCTAATTAATTTGTAGTATGTGATAGAGAGAGAATTGTGACAAAATACGACCTATATTATAGTCATTCAACTTGTTTTAACACAAAGAATTTGTATTTAAGGTCCATTTGTTTATTTGATAATTTTAAAAATAATACTTAATTATACATAATCATAATTAACGACTTAATTAATGTGTAGTATGAGAGAGAGAGAGAGAGTTATAAGAGAGATAGAAGCCTTAGAATTGTGGAAGGAATGAAAGTCTTGTTCAAAAAATTGAGAGAGAGAATTTCGCATTAGGACCGTTGAATCAATAATCATCAAGTGATTTGAGCTGCAAAAAGTTCAAGACAAACTTTTTTAACTACTTTATTATATAGATATTGAATACTTTAGGGACCAAAATGATGAAATTGAAATATTATGAACCAAAATGAGACTATCTCTGTACTTTGGGACCTCTGGTATAATTAATCCTAAAAATAAATATATAAATTAATAAATTCAATAGCATAACTTACAATATGGGTTCACACTTTACAATTTACTTTAACAAACTTAACCTGAATTCTAATCTGAAATCGGCCCGAATTAAGTAACTCGAATTCTAACCCAAAATCAGTTAGAATTCACTTTAAATTTTTATTGGTCAAATATTTTGTGTATTAGATTTGATCCCCCAAAACAAAATCTTGGTTCCGCTTTTGTGTAGAGCTCGACAACGATTTAAGGAGTTGTTTAGTAAGTGGGTTTAAGGGGGCATGACAAGATGAGTTTGAGAAAAATAATTCAATGGACCCCAAAACTCTTATTTGGATGACTTTTCAAGCCATGGACAATAATTCCGGCTTGTAGCTGGGCGACACCTTAAACTCTTGAATATGGGTTTTATAAAATCTATGGGGATTGAGTTTCGGTCGAGTCATATTTGAATTAGTAAGGCAAATATCATTTGTACCGTTAAATTAAACAAACATGAATATAAATTGAATTAACTAATGAACAATATAGTTATTTATGATGGGTGAAATCCAAATGGCCTAATCCATGGGAACAAGCCCAAGTTTATAGAAGACCAAACAAGCCCTATGAGGTCCAAGACGGTCAAGCCTATTAGGGAGTTACGGGAGTATCCAGGAGCTATACCACTTGCCCGTTGAGGAAGAGGAGAGGTCGCCAAGGAAAGGAGAGATCGTCAAGAAGAGGAAATGTTATCAGCTATTAAGTTGCCTCTAGTCCGTTATAATCGTCAAGCTAATCTATTACTACGCAGGCTTCTATAAATTGTAAGCTCCCCCAACACTTGAGGGGCATCTCAAAAAATCAAACTCATTTCTTCTCTCTTGTAATTCTCTGTTCTCCCAATACATCGGAGCTAATAAACTTCTCGACGAACTTAGCCATTGAAAGTGGACGTAGGTCTTGTTAACCGAACCACTATAAACCTTGTTTGCACTCTTTACCTACTTATTTTATTACATTTTATTCTATTTACTTGATTAGTGGTGTGCAAATTAATTTGTGTATCAACAATTTATATTACAAATATATTATGATAATAGTGATATATATGTGGGTCTTATATGTATATATATTACATACTAAATATGAATATAGATTGAATTTAACATTGAATTTCATTTTTATAAAAAAAAATTGAATTTAAAAGAGTTTTAAAAAGTCAATTAAATTCCTCTCCAAATATTCATCCAAACAAGGCAGAAATGTACCCGTATAGAAAGAGACTGTGTTTGTTGTTCAAGAAAATGTCTCTTTCTTTCTGGCAGAAATAGTAATTTAAAAAATCTGAAACTAACATTGTAAAGTGAAAAAACTTATATAGTTTGGAGAGTAAAATGAAGTAAATTTCCGTTAAATATGTAACGGACTTTAATAATTGGAGTAATGTGAACTTAATCAAATAGTTGAGTGGAAAAGTGGGAAAAGAGTGATAATTAAGGGGGTGTAAGTGTAATTTACCCAAAAAATAAATCACTTTTTGCTTTTTAGTTTTTTTTCTGCCACACGTATAACGTTGCTGGAAAGTTGCTATCACTCTCTTGTTATGTTAACAACCAAGTTACCCAATGAAGAAGAAGATATTACAGGCCAGGTTACATCAATGTCATTCTTTTTAATTCTTTAGCTAATGGATTTAATTCTTGCAAATTTTGTTTGCACCATTGCTAATGATTTACCTTAACTATGGGAAAAAAATAGAGCGAAGGATTTACCTTTTTATCCTAAAAAAGAATATGTTTTTTTCTATTCAACTCTAATTGATAAAGTTGATATGGATTGATTCAAGAAAATCTAAAGATCGATTGTGGAGAGGTGTATATTCCAAAGATCTTGGGTGCGTCACAGAAGATCACTTGAAGAGTCTACACGGTCCATTGTGGTGGATGAGTTCAAGAGAAGCTACTCATAATTTGAGTGGATAAATCTGTGGTGGAAATAAGTATCTAACCATGATAGTGGTTGAGGTATAAGTTTTTTAGTACTTTTAATTCGACTTTAAGTTTAGTGAATTAAGCTATGTGAGTCCCGAGTGGTTCCACAATTTTTTCTGGTGGTTTTTTGCGTAAACAATTTATTTGTGTTCTTTATCACTTTATTTTGCATACACACTAGTAATCGCACAAATGCACACCATGTTTATGAATGATTTGATTATTTGTCTTTTAATTTATTAAAAATGGTTTTGTGATCACCATCTTTGGGGTACAGATCATGGTTGTGGTGAACTTGAGTATAATTTAATCAATTGTTAAATTTTTACATTAGTCCACATGATGGGATTTGTGGATTGAGAAAAAGGGTTCAAGTTCCTAATTGGTCAAGTAATTTGTTAATTGTGATGAATTAGGTTTGAAATTGGTGTTTGTTCAATCGATAATTTTGGGCTAAGTTTGGAGAGGGTAAAGCTAACCGAAATGGTTTAAAATCCGTTTATTGTTTTGAATGGATTTTGTTCCGAAGGAAAAATATGATTCATTCTTATCAAGGGGCAGCTACACAAAACATGAAAGAAAACCAAAAAAAAAAACCAAAACAAAAACAAAAACAAAAACAGTGCTCTTTTCCAAATGATCGAGGAAGTTGTGATCGAATCCTTAGTAGAATTGAGTGATCAGGGTGAGAAACTGCACCAGTCCAACTAGTTAAGAACAAGAGGAAAAAGTTTAATGAGCAACAACTTTCATAGTAGTTGGCGGATAAACCCCCTCCATGGGAAATAGATGCATCACATTTGACAATTTTCTAGCCGTTTATGCATAAATGATTTGTTATATGGTACATAATGTGGTATTCTCTCAAATAATCCTATTTTTTCTCATTTCTTTCATGTTCTACTTCCCCATTTCCATTAACATCATTCAATGGCTTTGACTGAACTTTTGCAGTAGCTAACTCCACATCTTCTTCCATGTTGCAGTCTTTTACCTCTTCCAATGGTTTATAAGTATAAAACCAGGCACATACCACATAGTACACCAGATTTACGACTTGCAATATTGTCACAAGCCAATAGTAATTTTCCAATCTTCCCCTATTGAGGTTCCTATCGGGTAGCCAATTATTTTCCTTTCCAGTGTATTTGTGAACTAATGATACCATAAAGGTTCCGATATAATTTCCCATCGATATCGCCAACCAGTACAGTGCAGCTGCAGTGCTTCTCATACTCTCGGGCGATTGATCGTAAAGGAATTCCAAGTGCCCGACAGACATAAAAACTTCAGCTACCCCATGGAGGCAAAACTGAGGAACCAACCAAAAAACACTAATTGGTATAGTCGAAGTTGGTCTGTCCAGTAAGTTATACCTTGCTGCCACTGCTTTCCTCTTGATCTCAACCAATGCTGAAACGATAGTAGCAAGAATATTAACCACAAAGCCTATGCCCATTCTTTGCAGGCATGAGATTCCCACAGGATTTCCAGTGAATCGTCGAGCAAAAGGAACAAAAAGGCGCTCGTATAGAACAAGACCAATTAGCACAGTGACGACACTGAAGATGGACAAGGTGGCTGGAGGTATTTCGAAGGAAGGGGACAAGTGACGATCCATGCTTCGAGCTTGTTGGATAACAAAGCTGCTTTGATGTGAGTAGGATGTCACTAGTAATATTCCAGCTGCCCAGATGGGTAACATCCTTATAATGGACTTTAGTTCCTCGACTCGATGGACTGTGGCTAGCCTCCATAGATTTGTTGGGGTTGAATCCTTTGTATCCTCATCAGTTACTATTGCAGCTCGATCAAGCCACCTTCAAACATAATCACAAATTCAAATTTCAAAAATAATGGTGTAGTCTATTGTAAAAAATAAACAACTTAATTATGTTAGATTTCTAATTCAAAACCAAAAAAAAAATACGTTAGATTTTAGACAAGGGAGGGCTGAAGGGCCTAGTGGTAAGAGTTTACTCTTTAAGGTGATTGTGAGTCCCAATCTCATCCTCTTTCCCCCAAATAACTATCTTAGATTCTATTCAAAATCTTGAAGTGTGTTGAGGTGCAACTATGGGGGAAATGACTTCCTACTGAACTTAGAAAAGAATCTGCTTGGACAAATTACACTTTAAACCCATCAACTATGTCTTCTGGCTTATATTGCCCCGGCCCTCAACGATCACATTTCTGATATTGCATCTAAAACTATATCTATTAATTTAACATTATCCCTTCACTCCCGTGTTTCACATTGTCTTAATTATATACCTTGAGAACACATAGTCTACTACACATACGAACATTTTTCATTCAACACATGTTAGCTTCACAACTTTGGGATAGGGTAAAAACTTATTCAACTAGTTTGAAGGTGAGACCAAGGCTGTAGTCGAGGAGTCAAGTTGTAATTTTCCCAAAGTAATTCAATAGCTTCAAAAGAAATGTTGTCTAGAATTAATTGCTCAAAATAAGAATAAATTGCTTGAGCTGCTTCTTTTCTCCTTTCAAAGAAGCTAGTTGAACAAATGTTTTCACGCAAGTTTTAGCACTAAAAGTCATCACCAGTGACGGGGCGTGACATGTTGGACCAGTCGGGGACAAACACATGGCACTTACGCCACCGCATAGATGACGTTACTCCATTGAAGGTGACATCATTTGGAAGAGAAGAAATGATGATGAAAGGACAACAGAGTCCCCTTGGGGGTAATGTAATGTCACTCGAGGTAATGTCCTGTCACTCGGGGGAAAAGTCGAAGTGCTGAATGAGAGTTTCCTTTGGGGTGATGTCACTCAGCCATATGTTGCATCACTCGGGGTGTTTTCACTGGGAATAATATGAATGCATTGAGGATGCCTACTTAGGAATAAACGAGAAAAACCGATTTACGAGGATCAGTATTCAACTATCAATAAACGTAGGTCTATTACCGTATGCCGTCAAATCATTAATGCGCATCTTGTGAACGGGCTTAAAGGACAAGGGATTGAGGTCAAAGCGGAATTCGGCTCGAGGCCTAGCAGCCAGACAAGATCAGCGAGACAACTTGATTTCTCAAGGATTAATCAAGAAGCCTCCAACCAAAGAGATCATACGAGGTTTTCTCAATACAGGCATCCACCTATCATGTAGGTATAAATAACACTCTTAATTGAAAAAAAAAAGATATGTTGAACACTTTCTCAACTCTAACACTAAACATTATATCACTCCTTCCTCATAAACTGATTTAAGTATCGAAAAGGAATCGTCGAAGACACTTTGAGTCTCCTTTCTAACCATTTTTTGTGATCCTCAAGCCTTTCGTCATTTTTATGTTTTAAGGTTACCCTCAAGTAACAACTAAAGTGCCTTTATGTTTTAAGGTTACCCTCAAGTAACAACTAAAGTGCTACTATCTAGTTGCTTTGTCACACATGTCCTCGTAGGTAATTCTACTTGTCAACATTATGTCTATGATGATTAATGATAAATATATTTAAAAATTAGACTTGATAATTTTAACCATTGAATAAATAGTAGATTTCAATAAATATTGGGACCTATAGTGAAATCAATGCTTAAAATTATAAAACCTAATTTCTAAGATTATGTTTTAACTCCACGTAACATTGCTCTTAAATTATATTATATGTATAAGCGAAAGTCTAATATATCTTACCTGAATTGATCTGAGTGTAAAAGCCTTCCATTAGATGAAAAGGCCGCATCAAGCTCTCTATTCTCGTACAGGAGTCCAGGGTCAGAAGGTACAACTACTTTCCTCTTCCTCAGAGCAGCAACAACTACCTGAGCCAATCTAACCAGTGGACTACCCCCTGGTTTTACTTTTCTATAAAGAGGAGAGCCAACAAGAAAACTTATAATCGATACCATCATGGCAATAGTTGGAATTCCTAAACCCCAACCCCAACCCACATTGTCTTGGATATAAACGACGACAGTTAGAGCAAGCAGTGAGGCCATTCCCATGCAAAAAAAGTACCAATTGAAAAAATTCCAGCTTCGAGACTCGACTTTTGATTTGTTCATGTCAAATTGGTCGGCGGCGAAGGTAACGACACATGGCCGAATGCCACCAGTTCCTAGAGATGAGAGGAGCAGAGAGATGTAAAGGGGCCACAATTGGAGGGGTGAGGCTTCCTTGCAGTTTTCTTGAGTTGGGCATGGTGGCGGGCGGAGCTCTGGAAGAATCGCTGATATGGTGATGCTCACTAATCCCTGTGACATGAAATGTGTAGCACCAAAAAAACACTCAATCAAATAAGTTAAAAGTAGTTTTATCAGTTAAGTAAGTTCATGAGTAGAAGCAAAACAGATCTAGTATGTGGATCTAGTCGTAGATCTAGTTTCTCCGGAGATCTGATTTCGTCGGAGAGCTCTGTCGATCTCCAGTTGCCGGAGTAGACATTGTGTGTGTTTGTTCAGTCTTTGAGCACAAGTGGTGCGAGAGAAGAAAAAAAAAATGATTTTATACCTCGGAGGTTTAAGTGCACAATAACCCCTTCCCCGTGTTTTCATTTTTTTTTTTCTCAAAAATAGCCCAAAATATCTTTTGGTTGTTTCTTAAAATCAGCTATTTGTTCTCCATTTTTTTTCCCTAAATTGTTTTTAAAAATTGCCTGCCCAAAAATAAAAATTTTACTTATTTTTGTATCATATAAAAAAAAACTTATTTTTGAGATGAAATTCAAATTGGACCTATATTTTACTAAAAACAATTCTATACTAAACGTTTCTCATTAAATTTTATTTTTATCACCACCAGTTCCACCACTACCAACACTACTATTGCGATCAACCATCAATTTTTGCCACAACCAGGCACTATCACCACCACTGCCACCGGTGACCAACCACCAACATAAAATTATTTAATATATTATATTTGTTCACTCTAAATTTTTGAAAATTTGAATAATGGTTTTAGTCATTTTTTTTAGTAAATTAGATCATGCACACTTGTTTTGCATATGAATTATTTTAAATTATATTTTTTTTTTTGTAATTGTTTGAAATAATCATGTAAAAACATCAACCTATAAATATTATTAAGGTTTCTTGAGTATGATGTTATTGTTGTCCTCTTATGTGACCACCAAGTACTATTGGCTTATATGGTATGATCTCACATTCATTTATGCCTTTGAAATGGAGTTTGTGCCTTTGAATAGGAATTTAGGGATAGAGTTAATTAAAATTATAAATTTTGATTCTTAATTTTAGTTATAAGCCATGAATTCTATTTTACCAGGAGGAGCATAAATTCAAAAAAAAATAAAAGAATCATAATTACCAACTCTAAAAATCAGAAAATCAATTACCTTCTCACGTGAAAGATGGATTTTTTTCTCAGTGATCGAGATGTTTGGAACAAAAAATATACCAATCAATAAAAAACAACCTTTCATTATATAAATCTTAAATATACCAATCAATAAAAAACAACCTTTCATTATATAAATCTTTATTATACTATATATAAATCTTAAATATTGCATAGTCAAAATAATAAACTTCATCAACTTCATTTTTACATGCCAATGAAGTTAATTTTTTGACATCTTATTGCTTGGATGAATGTACAAAGGATGTTGATATAATTTTCTTCCAGCTACATGCACAAGCTAAATGAGGAAAAGAGTGTATATATAATGGTTGTCGGGGGTGAGTGGGAGGGATAGTCGACAATATCAGTTAAACTAAGACTTAGGGGTTGCTTAATCTATGAACTTTAGATTATTGAGAAATTCATCTTTTTGTAGCATCTTACTGTAGAATAGTGTTACTGTAAAACATGGTGATGGAGTAGGTGAACATGGATTTGAGAAAGTAATGGACATTGTTATTAGGCTTTAAGTATGTCGAGAGTGGTTAATGGTAGAAGTGGAATCTCTATGAATGACACAATGTATACAAATATATACACACAAAATTGAGAAGAAAATGAAGAGAACATAAGAAGTTATAGGGTAGCTAATTAAAACAAAATAGTTTTCATTATACTAAGTTGTTTATTTATTTATAATATTTGTGCACATAAAATGAGAGAGAAGTTGATTGGATGAGAAGAAAATGAATAAATGAGTGGTAGTATATAAACTCCATACGTTTTCTTTAGTTAGTATATTAATTTGGGTTTAATACCAATGTAATGAGTGGTAAAAAAAAAAAAAAGAGATGAAAAGTTTCTATAAATGAATTTACTACATAATAAAGAATATTTGTTGAGGAGGATAGTAGTTTGATATTTAAGTGATTATATATAAGAAGAAAGTAGAAATTCAAAAGTTTTTTATATTTAAGCCAAATTAAGGAATAATTGTCCTTAAGACAAGATCATTTAAGGAAAAAATTAAAATTAAAATTAAAATAGAAGTGAAAATTAAAGGTTAAATTATTAAAGCTCAAATGAATATAAATAAATAATAATTAATTTAAGAAGATGAAAAGATAGAAGAAAATTTTGTAATTTATTGAATAAAATGAACATAAATGAGAGGATATGATTGACTTTATAATAATAATTAAGGACAAAATAGTCAAATAAAATTTTTTTACTTTTCTTGACATTTTAAAGTAGTATAGGTTAGTGGTTCGCTAACACTTTAAAATAAATATTTTATTTTTAAATTAAATAAATTAGATGTAACTATCCTGATTTTATGTAAAAAAAATATGATAGTAACATACCAGTTCATAAATGATTGAACCGACGACAATGGTCCAAAAGCGGCCAGCGAAAGAGTCGGCGATCAGTGCCCCGATGAGCGGCGTGAAACTGGTGGTGCCGCCAAAGTTGGTAATCGTGTTGGAGGCCTTCACCAGTGGCATGTTGAGCTCTTGGGTGAGGTACGATATCAAGTTTGCATGGGAGCCAGTGCCAGCAAATCTGTCACACACGTCGTTTGCTGTCAAACGTAAAGAACCAAGTTAATATTCCATTCACCTACCACTTATTCGTCAGTTCAGCCTTGCAAAGTAGATAGGGAAAATTACAGTTTTGTTTTGGAAAATTACACTTGAATCCCCTTAACTATGGACTTAACTTCCCTTTGTCACTTGAACTATTGAATTTTTTGCATTGTCCATTAAAATACTTAAATTATTTCACATTGCCTCAAACGTAATCGTAGCACCTCCTCATCCCGCAAGGTGAGGAGGTGTTGTATGTCCATGTGCTGCATCCCACATCAACTCAAGAGGGAGAGTGACTAGGTTATTTACATGGTGGACTCTCTTTTAACCATTAAGAAGTCTTTTCAAAAAACGTGAGAGTGTATGAATACCTAAAACGGACAATACTTTGATATTTAGAATGAATCGTTGAAATTGTGTATCCAATGGAAGTGACTTTTTTGTAAAGTACTTTCAATGAATCTTTATTAAAAAAGTAAGATAGAAACCGTAGGAGACACCCTTTAACATCAGTCAAATTGCAAGAATTACATATGCAAGCTTTTTCATTTAAGTGCTTGAATTTTGGGACTAAGCAGATGGTATGGAATCACTTCCAAAAATCATCAGTTAAGTGTAGAAAGCAAAAGACATGAATATACTTGCTAATAGGAGAGAAGACTGAGACTAGAAAATTCTCCCCAAAAAGAAAAAAAAAACTATGTAAAGTTTGGCAGCATTATGTGCAAAATTGATGAAGAACATGGAAGTGCAAGCTCACCAAGGATAAACGGCATTGTTTTGATTCCTCCAAGCTTCTTCTTCTCCTTCTTGATAATCTCTCTCTTCTTGTCCTCTCCATTTGGGGTCACATGCTCCTTTGCCTCCATATTCATCTCCATGTTGCAGAATGAGATCTAATGGTTCTATATATAGGCAAACGGTGACCAGAAAGTAAGTGAGTGTAGTGAAAAGGTAAGAGCGATGGAGACGAGAAATTGACTTGAGTCATATTGAAATGGTTCTAATATATTTTTATTATTAGATCAATTAGTCCGAGCACCAAATAAATCAACTACTAATCCAATAATTATAAAATATTGTGCCTCAAATCAAGTCCCCAAAATTAAATACTATTAATATCATTGCAAAAAAAGGTCATATTCAGTCTCGGATATCTCCGAACCCGTATATACCTTAGCGCCTAGAAGAAACTTTCAGTGACTTTGTTTGCTATAGACAAGGGGCAGGGCTCAAGGTAGATTATATATAATAGAAAAGGAAATTGTTTTGATTGATGTTAATTACTATGTTTTGTCCTTGGGAACGTGTACATGTGACTGTCATGTGCATGATGCATCCCACTTTATTTTATTTGCAAAAAAAAAGAAATGTTGGATTTTTATCATCATATACCCTTGAATGTAGAGTATACCCTTGAATTTATGTGGCCATATATCATCGGAATCTCGGAAAATGGTAAAAGAAAGAAGACAACAGCACCTTAGCAAAACTCCATATATCCTTTTTTTTTTTTGAGTAATATTTATGAAATAATTAAAAACATATTTAATCACTAATAAAAGTGATTTATATGAACTTTAGCTTTTGAATAATGTGTTTCTATATGTGTATGCTAGTAAAAACAAACAATACTTAAAAATAAAATAGCAAAAAAAATGTATCCTCCCGACTCAGAGGAAATTAAATATTAAAAGTTATACGAGGTACGTAACTATTAATGTACATCAATATTAGATTTTTGGTCCGAGACTAAATTATGATTATTGATGTCTTTTGGGTGTTATGTTTAGGATCATAATCCACTAATGGAAAAGAGACCAGTGCAAAGAGTAAAATATTTTGATAGGATTAAGAGGTTACGTGTAGAATATGAGTAAAGAGGGAAGAAATAAAATGTGGCAGCCAAGTAGAAGTGCAACTTGATGACTGGTGTTTGTTTTTTTTTGTTGATGGAAACGTGTATGCATTGTGTGAATGAAGATGGTGAGTAACATATAAATACGAAAACAAATCAAGCGAAATATAAAAAGAGGTGTCGGCAAATGTTTAGGGAAATAAGAAGGGGGGTCCGTGAGATTTGATTTTGTATTATATGATGGTTTTTGCTCCCTTTGTTATCCATTTTAAATAAATCGCTTGTAATGCTTTTGGCTATGGATTTGACAATATCGATTGCGGATTGAGTATGTGGATTATACAAAATATATATTTTTGATTAATTTCTTTGCAAATAATATTTTATTAAGATCGTCTTTATCGTATTCTTATTGTGGTGTCGATTGGTTCAAACTTGGATATGACTTTCTGTTTGATTGTTAATGTTTCTATATTTCTTTGGTATTCTTCGTCTGTTGTATCGTGTATCGGTGTGACACTTGTTTTGATGAAGTACTTGGGGATTTAACGATCATGTCTGCGAGGTGGCATGGTTAAAATTATGATACGTGTTTGTGGTTCAGAGAGACGTATGTGATTGAATGAAATGCATTGATTGATGCGTAATACGTTGTCAATACAAACACGGTATTAAGCCGTGAAAAATTTTGAATATTTGAATGTTCGGGTTTCGCTGACATGTTTAATGGGTCTATACTTCATGAGTTATATTGTGTTATTCTATGTTTATTCAATTAATTGTTGATTTTGTTCATCAAATATCATTTGACTCTTTGACTCTGTATATTGTTTTATATTACTTTTTGGGCCTCCCAAGCTCACCCATTATTATTCTCTCAGTTGCAGGTTGAACTCGAAGTAACAATTGTTAGAAGTTTGGTCAAAGAATTATAAATTTTGGGAGATTAATTATTTATGTATCTTTAGAGTATTTAAATGATTATAATTAAATTTCCTATCAAGAGATTTGTTAATTCATTGTCGGCTGGGCCAAGCATAGGTCACTATGGTCGCTCTCTAGGGCCCAAAAGCTAAAATTTGAGGTCTCAAAATTTTTTTTTTTTTTTGGGGGATTGTTTATAAGAAGTTTTAGAGACAATTATAATCTCAATCTTTTTTGTTCAACCAAACTTGTATAATAATTCATAATGATTTCATCAGGGACCTCTTGAACTGTTTGCATCACTCTCTTCCGTTAATAGAGGTTATAAAAAATTTCAGATTAACTTTTCAACAGACAGAGTACGAAATGAATTCCAAGTCCCTTTGTTTTAGTTTTAGACTAATGACACCAATTTCTAGTGAAAACTGTCATCAAACAGGTGCATAAAAGATAGTATTCATATAATGATTAGCCTTAGACGACTATGACATAATCCCTTTTATTAGATGTTCAATCAGTAGAATCATACTACACTAGATAATGCACAAAGTTAATGTTGATATCATTATTATAAAAATTTGCAGAAAGTAGAGAAATTAGCTGACATCTCTGCTTACGTTTTGGCCATCAGGAATAATTAAAAGATGTTGATGGTGTTTGGCAACACTACAAAAACCAAATCGCCAAAAGGTGATAGCGCCGGCCTCCTTTCATTTGACGGATAGAGCTATGCTATGGTAATGGTTAACACCACTTTGGTACCATACTTCATGAAAGATTTTATTTTAATGTAGGGCAAATGGCACTATGTACCTTAAAAGATTAAAAAAAAATTTAATTTGTATCTTTAAAGATTAATTATTTCATCATTTGGTTAAGAATTATTCAATTTATTTTTTATCCATTTTCAGTATTACATAACAAGTTTATGATAAAAAAAAATTAGCAATCTAGATGGTGTCTACTTGAAGGACCATATAAAAATATATTCAATAATTTGAGGACCAAAATAATATAATTGAAATATTATGGACCAAAATGAGACAACCTCTATACTTTTGAGACCTCTAGTACAATTAACCTTAAAAATAAATATATAAATCAATAAATTTAATAGCATAACTTACAATTAGGGTTCACACTTCATAATTCACTTTAACGAACTCAACCGAATTCTAATATGAAATCAACCTGAATTAAATAAATCGAATTCAACCCAAATTTTAACTCGAAATCAGTCATCCTAAATCAACTCAAGCCGTGAATTTAACTTGGGTAGTACTCATGTTGAAGTTAGATTATACACCTAGGGTAGGGTCGAACCTGCCCAATCTGCACCCCGAATTAATGTCATTGCCTTGGGCCCCCACTGGAAAATAAAAATAATTTGGGGCCCCAAAATAAACATGTGCATAATGTTGCAAGGCTTAATTTTTGGGTTTAAATTGATAACTTAATGCGTTTTAAGCATTGAATTAATAATAAAGACTAACATTAAATAAGTAGTACACTAGCAATAGAATAACACAAATTCATTGGCCCCGCAATAGAGATATTCTTTACATCAACAACGACTATTTGTGGATCATCATTCAACCTAATAAAATATAAACTTACTGTGTTTATCACCTAATTCTAGCCATTACTTACCAATCCACACTTTGTCAATTGGAAACTCACTAAATTATATCACATTCCAATGAAAAAATTACATTCCAAAGTGTTTATTATATTCTTTCACGATGTAACTGATACCTCTTAAAAATTTAAAAAAAAAAAAAAAAAAACTCATTGTCTCAGAATAACACAATTCATCTGTCTTTTTCCCGAGACCAGACTAAAATAAATTTAGCCTCTATTTTTTTTCTCCATTAATTAAAACATTCAATTCTTACAATTGACACTGCTATGACACTTCTGCTTCTAAGTAGAAGTATTGTAGTTGTCCTCTACTCGAAAATTTTTCCAATTGACAACATCTAAATTCTGACTAAATTTTTTCAATTGGAGGAAATACAATATCCATGTATTGATTTTTGCAGTATATTTAAGAATAGAAAATATTCATATATTTTTTGTATTAGATTTGTATCCCTAATATTGTATAGTTGGTTTTATGTTAAATTCAGTAACTGTTTTTTTTTTTTATCAAAAAATGTGATATCCGATACATTTTATTTCTACGAAGTTTATCGAAATGGGTGTCTGTCAACTTAAACATTATATTTTAATTATTTCTCTGGTTGTAAATATTGAACTCATAGTTAGAGATCACCTCTGTGTGCAATTTCGTTGATTGTTTGTGGTAATTATATTATCTTGTTGATATAAATATAAATTTTTATTGGTCAAAAATTTGTGTATTAGATTTGATCCTCCAAAAAAAAATATTGGTTCCGCTTCTGTGTAGTCCGACAACGACTCAAAGGTACTCCTATAGAAAGAGACTTTTTTTTTTTTTTCAAGAAAAAATCTCTTTCTTTCTGCAGAAATGGTACTTTAAAAATCTGAAAAGAACACTCTTCAAAAAATAATGGGTAAATTATACTTATATTCCTTAAACTATTACCCTTTTTTCACTTTGTTCCCTCAACTACCAGATTTTTCACATTGTACCTAAACTAACACTTTTGTTTTAAATTGTCACAATCACAAACGTCTATTTTTATTTTTTTTTTGGACAGAAATCACTTACTTGATGGAGTAAAGTGAAAAACATTATATAGGTTGGAGAGTAAAATGAAATAAATTTGCACTAAATATATAACATGCCTTAATAATTGGGGTAGTGTGAAACTAATCACATAGTTAAGGGGACAAAGTGAAAAAGGAGGATAATTAAGGGGGCGTTAGTGTAATTTACCCAAAAATTCACTTTTTAATGTTTTTTTCTGCCACACGTATAACGGTGCTGAAAAGTTGATCTCACTCTGTTCTAGTAAGCAAATCTCTCTCTCTCTCTCTCTCTCTCTCTCTCTCTCTCTCTCTCCTGCTTGCAGCTATTTGTTGTATTGAAATAAATTACAGATTCTCTTGGTTTTCAAAGTATAAGGGCAATTTTGAAGGTGCATGCCCTTTATGAAAACTTACTACAGAGGTGAATCATGCATACCTCTGTCACACAAGTGGACATGATCCTTATGAAGCGATTTAACTCACGGGAAAAGGTGTGCATTGAGGGGCATGACTCGAGCAAAAGGTTTATGTGTAAGGACAAGGCTTAAGTAAAAGGTACTAGACACTCCATAAATATATTTTTTTTCTCTCATTCATTCAACAGGTAAATCCTAGAGACCAAAAGAGTTGTTTTAAGTGACTTTTTGTCTAGCGACAAGTCCTTCGGATATTCTTGGGAAGCCAAGCCCCAAGCAGTGTCTTAATTCCTAGATTTGGATAAGGCCATTATTCTTACTTAAAGAAAAAAAATAGAGCAAAGGATTTACCTAGTTTATCTTAAAAAGAATCTATTTTTCCACTTCTACCTTAATTAATAAAGTGATTGTTAAATGGATTGATTCAAGAAAATTTAAAGATCGATTGTGGAAAAGTGTACATTCCAATTAAAGATCTTGGGTGCGTCATAGAAGATTGCTTGAAGAATCTACATGGTCCATTATGGTGATTGTGTTCAAGTGAAGCTACTCATAATTTCAGTGAGTGAATTTGTGATGGAAAGAAGTATCTAATCATGATATTAGTTGAGATATAAGTTTTTGAGTACTTTTAATTCAACTTTAAGTTTAATGGATTAGGCTATGTGAGCCCTGAGTGGTTCCACAATTTTTTCAATGGGGTTTCTGCATAAACAAATTATTTGTGTTCTTTATCACTTTATTTTGCATAGACACGGTAACCGCACACATGCACACCATATGTTTGAATGATTGATTATTTGTCTTTTAATTCATTAAAAATGGTTTTGTGATCACCATCTTTGGGGTAGAGGTCATGGTCGTGGTAAACTTGAATGTAATTTAATCAATTGTTAAATCTTTACATTAGTTCAATGATGGGGTTTTTGGATTGAGAAAAGGGGTTCAAGCTCCTAATTGGTCAATTAATTTGTTAATTGTGATGAATTAGTTTTGAAATTGGAGTTTGTCCAATCGATAATTTTGGGCTAGGTTTGGAGAGGGTAAAACAATCCGAAATGTTTAAAATCCGTCTATTGTTTTGAATGGATTTTGTTCCGAAGGAGAAAATATGATTCATACTTATCAAGGGAAACAACTAGTTAAGAACAAGAGGAAAAGTTTAATAAGCAACAACTTTCATAGTAGTTGGCGGATAAACCCCCACCATGGGAAATAGATGCATCACATTTGACAATTTTCTAGCTGTTTATGCATAAATGATTTGTTGTCCTTAGTCCCAAGTATAATCATGTTAAAGGTAGGGCGTACTAGGAACACAAGACTCCCGTCATTGTGGAGTTTAGGGAGGGTTAGATTCTCGCAGTCTTACCCCTGTCTGTAAAGATGTTGTTTCCGCGACTCGAACTCGTTACCTCCGGCTAGTCTCTCACCTATTGCAAATTAATTCACTTAACTGATAGAACACCTACCAAATTATTATATGGTACATAGTGTGGTATTTTCTCAAATTATCCTAATTTTTCTCATTTCTTTCATGTTCTACTTCCCCATTTCCATTAACATCATTCAATGGCTTTGACTGAACTTTTGCAGTAGCTAACTCCACATCTCCTTCCATGCTGTAGTCTTTTACCTCTTCCAATGGTTTATAGGTATAAAACCAGGCACATACCACATAGTATACGAGATTTACGACTTGCAATATTGTCACAAGCCAATAGTAATTTTCCAATCTTCCCCTATTGAGGTTCCTATCGGGTAGCCAATTATTTTCCTTTCCAGTGTATTTGTGAACTAATGATACCATAAAGGTTCCGATATAATTTCCCATCGATATCGCCAACCAGTACAGTGCAGCTGCAGTGCTTCTCATGCTCTCGGGCGATTGATCGTAAAGGAATTCCAAGTGCCCGACAGACATAAAAACTTCAGCTACCCCATGGAGGCAAAACTGAGGAACCAACCAAAAAACACTTATTGGTATAGTCGAAGTTGGTCTGTCCAGTAAGTTATACCTTGCTGCCACTGCTTTCCTCCTGATCTCAACCAATGCTGAAACGATAGTAGCAAGAATATTAACCCCAAAGCCTATGCCCATTCTTTGCAGGCATGAGATTCCCACAGGATTTCCAGTGAATCGTCGAGCAAAAGGAACGAAAAGGCGCTCGTATAGAGCAAGACCTATTAGCACAGTGATGATACTGAAGATGGACATGGTGGCTGGAGGTATTTCGAAGGAGGGGGACAAGTGACGATCCATGCTTCGAGCTTGTTGGATGACAAAGCTGTGTTGATGTGAGTAGGATGTTACTAGTAATATTCCAGCTGCCCAGATGGGTAACATCCTTATAATTGACTTTAGTTCCTCGATTCGATGGACTGTGGCTAGCCTCCATAAATCTGGTGGGGTTGAATCCTTTGTATCCTCATCAGTTACTATTGCAGCTCGATCAAGCCACCTTCAAACATAATCACAAATTCAAATTTCAATCAATCACATAAAATGGTATAGTTTATTGTCAAAAATAAATAAGTAAATTATGTCAAATTTTCAATTCAAAACCAAAAAAAAATTATTAGATTCGAGACAACGGAGGATCTAGTGGTAAGGGTTTACTCTTCAAGGTGATTGCGAGTCCCAATCTCATCCTCTTTCCCCAAAACAACTGTCTTGATTAGATTCTATTCAAAATCTTGAGGAATGTTTAGGTGCAACTATGGGGGAAATGACTTCCTACTGAACTTATATTACAAAAGAATTTGCCTGGACAAATTACACTTTGAACCCATCAACTATGTCTTCTTGCTTATATTGCCCCTCAACAATCACATTTCTTATATTGCACCTAAAATGCTATCTATTACTTCAACATTTTCCCTTAACTATGGCGTTTCACATTTTTTTCACATTGTCTTTAGTTATAGACATTGAGCACATATAGTTTACTTACACACATGGACATATTTCATTCAACACATGTTAGCTTCTCGATTTTGGGATAGTGTAAAGCTTATTCAATTAGTTGAGGGTGAGACCAAGGCCGTAGTCGAGGAGTCGAGGTATAATTTTCCCAAAGTAATTCAACAACTTTCAATAGATTCAAAAGAATGTTGTCCAGAATTAGTTGCTCAAAGTAAGAATAAATTGTTTGAACCGACCGCTTCTTTCTCCTTTCAATGAAGCTAGTTGAACAAATGAATTCAAGCAAGTTTTAGCCCTAAAAGTCATCACCAGGTACAGTAGCTTTATCACACGTTTCCTCACAGTTACTAGTTACTACTCATTCTACTTTTTAACATTATGTCTCAGTTTATTTAAATGGCTAAGGATAATCCGTGACTGAAAATATGGTGTAATGTGAATGGTTTTAAGATAAATGTTAATCATCGTTGTTTAAGTATATTTGAGGCCATAAAAATAATTTATTAAAGTCTGTCCGGTATATGTTTATATTATAAATATGTATAAGTGTGTAAGACATATCTTACCTGAACTGATCCGAGTGTAAAAGCCTTCCATTAGAGGAAAAGGCAGCATCAAGCTCTCTATTCTCGTACAAGAGTCCAGAGTCAGATGGTACAACTACTTTCCTCTTCCTAAAAGCAGCAACAACTACCTGAGCCAATCTAACCAGTGGACTCCCTCCTGGTTTTACTTTTCTATAAAGAGGAGAGCCAACAAGAAAACTTATAATCGATACCACCATGGCAATAGTTGGAATTCCGAAACCCCAACCCCAACCGACATTGTCTTGGATATAAACGACGACAGTTAAAGCAAGCAGTGAGGCCATTCCCATGCAAAAATAATACCAATTGAAGAAATTCCAGCTTCGAGACTCGACTTTTGATTTGGTCATGTCAAATTGGTCGGCGGCGAAGGTAACGACACATGGCCGAATGCCACCAGTTCCTAGAGATGAGAGGAGCAGAGAGATGTAAAGGGGCCACAATTGGAGGGATGAGGCTTCCTTGCAGTTTTCTTGAGTTGGGCATGGGGGAGGGCGGAGCTCTGGAAGAATCGCTGATATGGTGATGCTCACTAATCCCTGTGACATGATATGTGTAGCACCAGAAAAATACTTATCAAAAAAGTTATAAGTAGTTTTATCAGTTAAGTAAGTTCATGAGTAGAAGCAAAACGGATCTAGTTTCTCCAGAGATCTGATTTTGTCGAAGAGCTCTCAATTGTCGGAGAAGACTACCACCAATCGTCAGAGAAGACATTGTGTGTGTTTGTTCCGTCTGAGAGCAAAAGTGGAGACAGGGGAAAGAAAAAACTTATATACTTAGTAGGAGGTTTAAGGGCACAATAACCCCTTCCCCTAGTTTTCATGTTTTTTTTCTCCAACACAACAAAATTGTTTTTAAAAATTGTCAGCCCAAACAGATTTTTACTTGTTTTTGAGATAGAGTTCAAACATGACCTATATTTTACTTAAAACAGTTCTACATTAAACATTTCACATTAAATTTTACATTTATCACCACTATCACTGTGGTCCTACCACTACCAAAGCCGCTGTAGCCATCAACCGCCACTATTCGTGACAATCAGGCACTATTACCACCACTGCCACCAATGACCAACCACCAACATAAAATTATTTAATATATTATATTTATTCCCTATAAATTTTTGAAAATTTTAATAATGGTTCTAGTAATTTCTTTTTTCAGTAAATAAATGGTTTAGTGACACTCTAAAATAAATATTTTATTTTTAGATTAAGTAAATTAGATTTAACTATCCGGACCTATTTAAAAAAATATGATAGTAACATACCAGTTCATAAATGATTGAACCGACGACAATAGTCCAAAAGCGGCCAGCGAAAGAGTCGGCAATCAGTGCACCGATGAGCGGCGTGACACTGGTGGTGCCGCCAAAGTTGGTAAGAGTGTTGGAGGCCTTCACCAGTGGCATGTTCAGCTCTTGGGTGAGGTACGATATCAAATTGGCATGAGAGCCAGTGCCAGCAAATCTGTCACATGCTTCGTTTGCTGTCAAATGTAAAGAACCAAGTCAATTAATAATCTATTTACCTACCATTTATTCTGTCAGTTCAGCCTTGCAAAGTAGCTCAGGAAAATTAAACTTTTTGTGAAAATTACACTTGAATCCCCTTAACTTTAGACTTAATTTCACTGTCACTTGAACTATTCAATTTTTCACATTGTCCGTTACAATACTTGAATTATTTTGTATTACCCAACGTAATCGTAGCACCTCCTCATCCTGCAAGGTGAGGAGGTGTTGTAGGTCCATATACTGCATCCCACATCAACTGGAGAGGGCGAGTGACTGGGTTATTTACGTGGTGGACTTTCCTTTAATTATTAATAAGTTTTTTCAAAAGTGTGAGGGTGTATGAATATTCACAATAAATAATACCTTGACGAGTGAGTCGTTCCAACTGCATATTCAATGGAAGTGACTTTTTTATAAAGTACTTTCAATGAATCTTTATTAAAAAAAAGGGAAGATAGAAACCGTAGGAGTCACCCTTTAACCTCAGTCAAATTGCAAGAATTACATATGCAAGCCTTTTCATTTAAGTGCTTGAATTTTGGGAGTAAGCAGATGGCATGGAATCACTTCCAAAATCATCAGTTAAGTGTGGAAAGCAAAAGACATGAATATACTTGCTAATAGGAGAGAAGACTGAGACTAGAAAATTCTCCCCAAAAAGAAAAAAAAAACTATGTAAAGTTTGGCAGCATTATGTGCAAAATTGATGAAGAACATGGAAGTGCAAGCTCACCAAGGATAAACGGCATTGTTTTGATTCCTCCAAGCTTCTTCTTCTCCTCCTTGATAATCTCTCTCTTCTTGTCCTCTCCATTTTGGGCCACATGCTCCTTTGCCTCCATCTTCATCTCCATGTTGCAGAGTGAGATCCAATGGTTGTATATATATAGGCAAATGGTGACCAGAAAGTAAGTGAGTGTGGTGAAAAGATAAGAGAGATGGAGACGAGAAATTGGGTTGAAGTCATATTAACTTAGCGTCTAATATTAGACCAGATAAGAAAAGAAATAATGTTATTGAAATATAATTTGAAACTTAGTTTAAATACCTAATGTATTCTTATTATTAGATCAACTAGTCCGAGCACCAAATACAATCAACTACTAATCCAATAGTTATAAAATATTGTGCCTCAAATCAAGTCCCCAAAATTAAATACTATTAATATCATTGAAAAAAAAAGGTCATATTCAGTCTCGGATATCTCCGAACCCGTATATACCTTAGCGCCTAGAAGAAACTTTCAGTGACTTTGTTTGCTATAGACAAGGGGCAGGGCTCAAGGTAGATTATATATAATAAAAAAGGAAATTGTTTTGATTGATGTTAATTACTATGTTTTGTCCTTGGGAACGTGTACATGTGACTGTCATGTGCATGATGCATCCCACTTTATTTTATTTGCAAAAAAAAGAAATGTTGGATTTTTATCATCATATACCCTTGAATGTAGAGTATACCCTTGAATTTATGTGGCCATATATCATCGGAATCTCGGAAAATGGTAAGAGAAAGAAGACAACAGCACCTTAGCAAAACTCCAAACATCCTTTTTTTTTTTTTTTGAGTAATATTTATGAAAGAATTAAAAACATATTTAATCACTAATAAAAGTTATTTATATGAATTTTAGCTTTTGAATAATGTGTTTCTATATGTGTATGCTAGTAAAAACAAACAATACTTACAAATAAAATACCAAAAAAAAATGTAACCTCCCGACTCAGAGGAGATTAAATATTAAAAGTTATACGAGATACCTAGTTATTAATGTACATCAATATTAGATTTTTGGTTCGAGACTAAATTATGATTATTGATGTCTTTTATGTCTTTTGGGTGTTATGTTTAGGATCATAATCCACTAATGGAAAAGTGACCAACGCTAAGAGTAAAATATTTTGATAGGATTAAGAGGTTACGTGTAGAATATGAGTAAAGAGGGAAGAAATAAAATGTGGCAGCCAAGTAGAAGTGCAACTTGATGACTCTTGTTTTTTTTATGGAAACGTGTGTGCATTGTGTGAATGAAGATGGTGAGTAACATATAAATACGAAAACAAATTAGGAGAAATATAAAAAGAGGTGTCGGCAAATGCATAGGGAAATAAGAAGGGGGAACCGTGGGATTTGATTTTGTATTATATGATGGTTTTTGCTCCCTTTGTTACCATTTTTAATAAATCACTGGTAGTACTTTTTGGCTATGGATTTGACAATGTCGATTGCAGATTGGGTAAGTAGATTATGCATAATATACATTCCTGATTAATCTCTTTACAAAGAGTATTTTATTAAAATCGTCATTTTTGTATTCTTATTGTGAAGTCAATTGGTTCAAGCTTGGATATTATTTTTCATTCGATTGTTAATGTTTCTATATTTCTTCGATATTCTTCGTTTGTTGTATCGTGTATCGTTGTGATACTTGTTTTGATGAAGTACTTGGGGATTTAACGACCATGTCTGTGAGGTGACATGGTTATAATTATGATACGTGTTTCTGGTCCAAAGAGGCGTATGTGACGGAATGAAATGCACCGATTGATGCCTAGTATGTTGTCAATACAAACCCAGTATTAAGCCGTGAGAAATTTTGAATATTTAAATGTTCGAGTTTCGCTGACATGTTTAATGGGTCTATACTTCATGAGTTATATTGTGTTATACCATGTTTATTCGATTAATTATTGGTTTTGTCGATCGAATATCTTTTGATTCTTTGACTTTGTATATTATGTTTTATATTGCTTATTGGGCCTCCCAAGCTCACCCCTTATTTATCCTCTCAGTTGCAGGTTGAACTCAAAGTAACAGTTGTTAGAAGTTCGGGTCTAACGGTGTTCTTATCGGAATTGAGCAATGCTATGGATTGAAAGTATACTGAATGATAAGGTTTGTTTTAATCTGAGCTCCAGGATATTGGGGAGGAGCCACACACAGTGTTTATAGTGGTTCACCAGCTTAGGAGCTCGCCTAATCCACTCTCAAGAGAATCTTTTACTCTTAGGAACTGTTATTGAAAATGCTGAGATTACACAGTATTCTTGATACTATTTCTGTTGCCTGCCTCGAAGTGAGGACATTTGTACAATATTTATAGCCTAGTTCCTAACTCTAAGACGTCTGTGGCGAGATCTTCGCCTTCCTCTCCTAACATCCCACTTGATTCCAGACAATAGTTTAGGCGGTTGAGGATCTTGTGCCTAGACAGGCGCTTACTGCCATTTAGGGGCCACGTTGTGGTTATCAGCTGTCTTCCATTCGTCTTCTTTGGGGTGCAAGTTAAGGGGACCCCAAGTCTAGTTCTCTGAGTTTAGGCTTTCTTGGCTGAACTCCTTTCCTAACCTTAACTCCCAAGCTCAAACTTCAAATTTCTTCTAGGTATCATCAGTTGCCCCCAGTCCTTGGTCAAAGTGGGTTTGAGCAAGGGCTGAGCTGAGGCTGGNGTATTCTTATTGTGAAGTCAATTGGTTCAAGCTTGGATATTATTTTTCATTCGATTGTTAATGTTTCTATATTTCTTCGATATTCTTCGTTTGTTGTATCGTGTATCGTTGTGATACTTGTTTTGATGAAGTACTTGGGGATTTAACGACCATGTCTGTGAGGTGACATGGTTATAATTATGATACGTGTTTCTGGTCCAAAGAGGCGTATGTGACGGAATGAAATGCACCGATTGATGCCTAGTATGTTGTCAATACAAACCCAGTATTAAGCCGTGAGAAATTTTGAATATTTAAATGTTCGAGTTTCGCTGACATGTTTAATGGGTCTATACTTCATGAGTTATATTGTGTTATACCATGTTTATTCGATTAATTATTGGTTTTGTCGATCGAATATCTTTTGATTCTTTGACTTTGTATATTATGTTTTATATTGCTTATTGGGCCTCCCAAGCTCACCCCTTATTTATCCTCTCAGTTGCAGGTTGAACTCAAAGTAACAGTTGTTAGAAGTTCGGGTCTAACGGTGTTCTTATCGGAATTGAGCAATGCTATGGATTGAAAGTATACTGAATGATAAGGTTTGTTTTAATCTGAGCTCCAGGATATTGGGGAGGAGCCACACACAGTGTTTATAGTGGTTCACCAGCTTAGGAGCTCGCCTAATCCACTCTCAAGAGAATCTTTTACTCTTAGGAACTGTTATTGAAAATGCTGAGATTACACAGTATTCTTGATACTATTTCTGTTGCCTGCCTCGAAGTGAGGACATTTGTACAATATTTATAGCCTAGTTCCTAACTCTAAGACGTCTGTGGCGAGATCTTCGCCTTCCTCTCCTAACATCCCACTTGATTCCAGACAATAGTTTAGGCGGTTGAGGATCTTGTGCCTAGACAGGCGCTTACTGCCATTTAGGGGCCACGTTGTGGTTATCAGCTGTCTTCCATTCGTCTTCTTTGGGGTGCAAGTTAAGGGGACCCCAAGTCTAGTTCTCTGAGTTTAGGCTTTCTTGGCTGAACTCCTTTCCTAACCTTAACTCCCAAGCTCAAACTTCAAATTTCTTCTAGGTATCATCAGTTGCCCCCAGTCCTTGGTCAAAGTGGGTTTGAGCAAGGGCTGAGCTGAGGCTGGGTCGAGTTATGCCATATGCGACCTCGATTTACGCATGAAGAGACTTTTTTTTTATGGTTTTGTGCAATCATTTCCTCCTTGTTTCTTGTGCACGTCCCACTCTTCGAAGACCCACGTACACCAAACTTTAAATGCCCCTAAGAAAATGGAAATCGTCTCACTTCTTTTTTTTGATTTCTCTCTCTAGGCTTTACCTTCTTCCTTGCGATCTTAGCTTCCCCAATATGTTGGTGATCTTAGGGTTTTGCTAAAAATCAACATCCCTTGATTCGAAGGCTTTGCGAGGCTTGCTTATTGATTTCACTTTGGGCTTTGATTCGTCGCTCACCCTCGATAGGGTACACTTCTTGGCTTTTGTTCATTTCTTTGTCCTAGATCCCTCGAATCCGAGGTGGTTGCTGCATTTTTGGACCTTTCGTTTTTGCTATTTTAAGAATCGAGGTTACTCCTTGTCCTCTTTTCCCTTCTTTCTGGATCCTTATTCTATTGCAAGAATCTTCCTTATTGGTCATTAGAGTCTTGACCCCTTAACTCTCAGGAAACGTTTTACCAACGTCCCATTTTCTTATTCTCTTTTTATCTCCCTTTTTCTAATTCTATCATGTCTGGCTCCTTCGAGACTACTGCTTCATCAATTTCTCTTGCCATGGGCGAGAGGTTTGTTGGAGAGGAAGACACCGATTTAGGTGACGTAGGTAATAAGATTGACAATTTTCCCAGTGTCGACTCTGTCAAACTTGGGGAAAATACTGAGGAGCTGCCCATATCATCTTCTCCTGTGTTTGGCAAGTCTAGGAAAGGAAAGGCAAAAGTGAGTGACGTCGGGTTTTCGACAGCGCTGAGGAAGCAGAGGCTGCCCCCCAAGCTTCAGACCTCGTGGGTCATGGTGAGGTCAACTCTCCTCTCATAAGTGTCCTTTCGGTTAGATTTGGCTTCCCTCGAAGTATGCATTATTGGTGTCCAAATATGGACACTCGGTATAACTCCCAGATTCTTGTGAAGGTTTGCTTCTTCGTAGCTTCTCTCTAGAACGGCCTTCGCTTCCCTATACGTTATTTCTTCAAGAGTGTTCTCCAACATTTCCATGTTTGTCCTTCTCAGCTTTCTCCCAATTTTTGGGGTGTTCTTGTGGGTCTTCTTATTTTCTTCAAGAAAAATGAACTTGGTGTCTCCACTATTCCTCTGCTTATAAAATTTTCAATGTTAAATTCACCCCTTCTAATGGTTTCCTGTATCTCTCTAAACGGGTGAAGGCCTGTCTTATTATTACCGACCTGTCGACCTCCCATAAGGGTTAAAAAAAACTTTTCTTCTTTATGTTTGGGAAAGAATGAGAGTTCGACCCC